ATAGAGCTGTCTGGTGGAGGCTGGTTTGCGTTGCTTGGGGCTGGGCGCACTATTAAACAGCACTGCCAGGTTCACGGCCCACGGTCACAGGGGGGCGTTCGGGCTGAGACTCTTGGTACAGTGCTCACTCAGCCAGACAGCGGCCCTCCCGAGAGGCGGCCGTGGGGTTGAGCTGTAAAACTTCAAAGGTCGCCTGGCTCGGTCGTTTAGTGTTTCACAACCGCCGTGACTCACGCAGGGGCCAGAGGAGCTCACATTCCTTTGCAGGGAGGGGCAGTCCTGGGATTTGAACTCAGGGCCTGGGCGCTGTCCCTCAGCTCTATCACTCAAGGCTGGCGCTCTACCACTTGAGCCACAGCGCCACTTCCGGTTTTCTGCTGGTTCTTTGGAGATCAGAGTCTCACAGACTTTTCCTGCCCGGGCTGGCTTTGAACTGCGATCCTCTAGATCTCAGCCTCCTGAGTCGCTGGGATGGCAGGCGGGAGCCACAGCGCCCGGCTGGACATAGCTTTAGTTTAAAGGAAAAAGAAAAAAAAACAACCAGCCAGGAGCCCCCCGTGCCCGGTGTGTCACCTTCCCTGCCCGGGAGGCTGAGCGCCGGAGGATCGCAGTTCAAAGCCAAGCTCAGACAGGAACAGAAAAAATAGAAACCTGAGCGATTCCACCTGCGGTCAGCAAAAAGCTGTCCTGGAAGCGAGGCTCGGGAGGTGGCGCACCCACCAGGAGCAAGTCAGGCTCTGAGTCCCAGCCACCAGCGCCAGCCAGGAGCAAACAACACAACAACCACCACCACAACAACACAACAACATCGCCATGTGATTTTTGGAAGCTAATTTCTGCCCAATTTCAGACAAACAGAGGGGATTCAGCAGCTGGGCCTGTGATCATCACCATCATCATCATCATCATCACCATCATCATCATCATCACCATCATCATCATCTTTGCAATCCCTCCCCGTCTGCAGAGGAGGGGTCTGGCTTGCTGCTCCTTTTTGAGGGGCTAGTAATATTCCAATCGCTGCTCTGTCCGTCTCAGGCGGGCGGCTGGGTGGAGGCCGCCGGGGACCAATGTTCCCCGGGCTTTGTTTCCTCATGGTTCCCCGGGAAACAGAGTTTCTGGGAACTCTGTTGAACCCGACTTGGGAGGGGAGGGGAACTGAGGCTCCCAGCACCCACTGTGGGGCCCTTTACGGAAGGTCGTAAAGCAGGGCCGCCCTGCCCTGCTCTGACTCACGGCTGACTCAGTCTCTCTGGAGCTCCAAGCCTTGGACTTTAGACTCATAAAGATGTCAGGACGAAGCGTTCTGATTCATCCCGGCCCGGAGCAGACACACGCACACACACACACGCACACGCACACGCACACAGGTCTACATGTGAATGAGGGAGGCTGGGATTGTCTTTGAACTCGCAAGCCGTGTCAACCGACCGGCCGCCGCCATCCCAGCTGCTCGGGAGGCCGAGGGCTGAGGATCGCGGGTGGAGGCCGAGTCCGGGCGGGGAAGTCCGTGAGACTCTCATCTGCCGTGGACCACCTGCGGCTTGCTCGGCCTCCTCGGGGAGTGAGCGCACACGTGTGTGTGTGTGTGTGTGTGTGTGTGTGTGTGAAGTCCTGGGGCTTGAACTCTGTCCCTGAGCCTTGTTGCCGCTCGAGGCTGGCGCTCTGCCGCCTGAGCCCAGCGCCCCCTCCGGCTTTTTGCTGGTCATTTGGAGGGAAGAGCCTGGTGGACTCGGCCCCGTGGCTCTGAGGCCTGTGTGAAGCTGAGATCAGGAGGTTCGCAGTCCTGAGACCTGCGTCTCTGCCTGGGTCGGGGGAAGGACTCAGCTCAGGCGGGGCCAGCACTCGCCGGGGATCACAGAACTGGGCTCCGGCGCCCCCTCCGGCCGCCAGCGCCCGCTTCCCCATGGCGGAGATGCTGCTGAGCTGAGGCCAGTACTAAGCAAACACAGGCGTGGCCCGCCCGGCGGCCACTGCTGCCCAGGGGACAGACCCCCCCTCCCTCCCCCCATAAAGGGATCCCGGGCCAGGTCCGAGGAGCCGCCGGACACACGCGTGTGTGCGCACACACAGACACCGTCACGCCGCTCACTACCCACCCCACGCCTCCCTCCCTCTCCCTCAACTACCCTGGCTTTACCACGCGCCGGGCGCCGCGGCTCACGCCTGCCGTCCCGGCCATGCGGGAGGCGGGAGATCTGAGGATCGCGGTTCAAGGCCAGCCGGGGGCAGGAAAAGTTCAGTCATCATCATCATCATCACCATCATCATCATCATGATTATTATTTTCTGCTGGTCCTGAGGCTTGAACTCAGGGCCTGGGCGCTGTCCCTCAGCTCTTCAGCTCAAGGCTGGTGCTCTACCACTTGAGCCACAGCTCCACTTCCGGTTTTCTGGTGGTTCCTGGGAGATCAGAGCCTCACGGACTTTCCTGCCCGGGCTGGCCTTGAACTGCGATCCTCCGCCCTCAGCCTCCCGAGTGGCTGGGATGACAGGCGTGAGCCACCGGGGCGGGTCTCCGAGCCCCTGGGCCAGGCCCTGGCGGTGGCCGACCGGGGACGCCACACAACCCCTCCTGCCCCTCACTGGGCATCTGTGAAGCTTCACGCAGGAAGAGCCGCCGGCCTGAATTAGAACATAATCTCCTTTGGCCACAGATTTCCTCGTGACTAAATCTCCTGGTCGCAGGCCCTGGTCGCTCGGGGTGACGCGGGCATCGCACGGGAGAAAAGCCCACACAGTCCTTCCGTCCCAACCGCCCGGCCAGGCCGGCGGGGCCCCGGGCCAGGGAGGAGGCTGAGGCCGGAGGATCGCGGTCCGAGGCCAGCCGGGCTTCCAGAGACCACCGGACCCGCAGGCTCCCAACTGGGAAAAGCCCCAAAAGGGGCTGGGCGCGTGGCTCGGGGGGCACACGAGTTCAAGTTCCCCGGTGCCTCAAACCGGAGACAAAAACGTAGAGCGCACGGTTGGGCTCGACGCCAGAAAACCATCCAGAATGTTCTTGAGGGGGCCAAACCTTTGTGTGTGTGCCTCTTTCTTGCCTCTTTGCTGCCTTTGGTGAGCGGGTCTGGGCTCTGATCTCCATTAAACCAACAAAAAGACGGAAGTGGCGCTGTGACCCAAGTGGTGGAGCTCCAGCCTTGAGCTGAAGAGCTCAGGGACCGCGCCCAGGCCCTGAGTTCAAGACCTAGGGCCAACCAAAAAGAAAAAGAAAATACTTCCCCAGAATCCCTCTGTGTCACAGCCTCACAAACCAGGAAAGAAAATCGGATCCCATTTCTTACAAAGAAATGGGCTCCGGGCACCGGTGCTCACGCCTGTCATCCCAGCCACTCAGGAGGCTGAGATCAGAGGATCGAGGTTGGAGGATGGCAGGAAAAACAGAGAGTCTTATCTCCATTAAAACAACAAAAAGCCAGAAGTGGCGCTGTGGTTCAAGTGGTAGAGCGCCAGCCTTGAGCTAAAGAGCTGAGGGACAGCGCCCAGGCTCTGAGTTCAAGCCCCACAACTGACACACACACACACACACACACACACACACACACACACACACACGGAAACCCAGAAACAACCACAGTATAACACTCATGAACAAGTGACACAAGTAAAACTGGGAAAACACCGGTGGGGTGGCGGATGCTGTGTCCCCGGCTCCCGGGGGCTGTGGGGGGGGGAGGCGGGGGCCGAGGCCGGGCGCCCCGCCAGGCCTGGGCTCACCCACCCGGCCTCCATCTGCCCACGGCGGGGCCTGGCCAGGCCGGAGCTGCGGGTCCAGCTGGCCGCGAGTTTGATCCCGGCGGGTGGCGGGGGCCCTGCGCTCACAGAGGGGGGGGAGAGGGCTGGCCACGCAGGGTGCTGGCCTCCGCTCAACTAGGTCACTCGGGCTGTGTGCAGCAATCACCGTCACTTTTGTTTCTAAAGCCGGGCTCTGGCGCGCACGCG